TTTTTTTTTTTTTTTTTTTTTTTAATGGGATTTTCCCCTATACTTGGACTTCGTAAGTGAAGGAGGGTTGACGCAGTCTTTATGGAATCTACTATTTTGGCTTGTCATTATTTTAATATGTTTTTAATGTAAATTGTATTTTTAACTACTTTTTTGCTTCAGGTGAAAAGAAAATTACCCAAAGTCAACAGGCGCCTCGCAAATCAAATCCTTGAAGAGGAAGAAGCTGGAACGGAAAAGAAGGATGAAGAGGATGTCAATAAGACCAAGAAGGCATCAAAGAAGAAGAAAGGGCTCAGTAGTGAAATCTTTCAAGATGAACGTTTTGCGAATATGTTTAAGAATGAGGTATGACTCGGTTCTTAGATGCTCCCTCTCATTTTTTTCTCCACATTTCTATTGGTTGTTTGCAATATGTCACGAAAAATCAAGGAAGAAAAAAAAAATTCTAGGCTTCATCTGCAAGATGTCTAAGGTCAAATTACACATGCGTATCTATTTGTTTAGTGGGGATGTTTATTAGCAAAATATCAAGAAAAAGAAAGTTGTGGCGTAGGGTGTTCGCTTGAATTTTACTCATTTAAATGTAGTTTCCTTGTTTTTTGTTGGATCATATTATAGCTCTTGTTCATCTAATGTTGGATCATGTTATGCTACAGAACTTCGAGATCAATGAGCTTTCACCAGAGTATCTGGCCCTGCATCCAGTGGCTTCTACGAAGCAGCCATCTTTGGTGGAAGAGCATTTTGAACCTGTCTTGGACGACAGTGAACAAAGCTTAAGTAATTCTGATGCCTCAGTTGAATCAGACTTTGAAGATGAACCCAGCAGAGATAAGCATAATAAGGCGCGAGCTCCAAAGTGAGTTTTTTCAACTCATAATTATTTTATATACTTTTTTCTTGGGAGCTAAAAGTTTTCCGATCTTCTAACCTATTAAAAGAAAGCTGTATAATCTAATACAAATTTTCCATCAAGGAAAGGAAATGCGTACTGTACTAACTACAAGTTAATATCTTTCTCTTCATGAGTTCATATGAATTCTTTGTGCTAAAGTCGGTATCTTTGGAGGGGATAGATAGCGTTTAATAATTTTATTGATGTGAATGTGTAGATTGTATGAGGTGAAGGATGAAAAGCATGCTGAGGCGTTCTGGAACAGTGTATCACTTGCTAAGGAGGAAAGGCTCACTATGGAGGAGAGAATTGCTGCTATGGGAGACAATAAGCAAGGTTCTGGAATTCTAAATGAAGTTAAATTGGGACCAGGAGGGTCGCGAGAGATTTCGTTTAAGCCAAGAAGCTCTGCCAAGTACATGGAAGATGATGACGATGAAGGCCCACGAAAGAAGAATCGGAGTGCCGAATTTTATGGTCCAAAGGCCAATAAATCAGGTTCCCGAGGTGGAATGAGACATGGGAGCAGCATAGGTGGAAACAACAGAGGTAGAGGTAGAGGTAGAAGAGGGCGCCGGTGAATGATTCACACTGGTGTATCATATGAAGAAAAATATATGAAACAGTTGCAGCCTTAAGCCATGAAATTAGATTTGTGCTTTGTCTTCCTTACCGAGAAGGAAGATAAGAGGAATGAGACGTCGACATGGTGAGAGCATAGAGTATTCCCATCTCACCCATGAGAAGATTTTATAAACTGTAAATTTTGTTAGGTTAGTTTTAAGTTATTAATATTGTTTCACTTGAATGAGTAGAGCCTGTTCTTTATTAATATGATCGAGAACCCAATTGAAAGAATGAAACTTTATTAATCGCTGGATCGATTGTACATGTAGTTTAGCAAACAGATTGTGTTTTAAACTGAAGTAGCAAGATAAAGACACCCTACCCTCACAACCAATTAATTAATATTTTGAAACATTGATCTTTGCTGCAAAAGGAATTAATAGAGCCAATCCAAAGAACCCCATCCTCTCCCTCTTCCACTTCAGAAAAACTTCTCCCTCTCAACTCTGCTTTACCTTCAATAATCTCCATTACTGCACCTTCCTCACTAACCCTCACTCCAACCCCACCTCTCCCTATCCACTTCCCCAAATAGCTATAGATCTTGTCCACGTCCAAAGGAAGCTTCGCTAACCCCTTCCCTATCCAACTCTGAGACAGGATGAACCTCAACACCCCTCCTCTTCTGGAGTGAATTCCCACCCAAAACCCCCCTCCTTTACTACTACGACTCCTCTTGATGTTGTCCGGGAACCCCGGGAGCTCCCCCACCACCTCGGCTTTGCCCGTCCCCAGCCAGTACTTGAGAATCCTGCACTTGGTGGTCTCCGCGAGTAGAAGGAAATCCCTGTTTTTGCTCAGTGACACTCCGTTCGGAAATGAAGGGTTTCCCAACAGAAGGCTTAGTTGTTTGGATTTTGGATCATATTTCATTAGCCTTCCTGAACTGTCTCCACTTAATATAGCCGACGCAAAGTTCCTGCACAAAAACACACAACATTTAAATATATGGGTCATTAAAGGAATGGATGCATCGCAGCAATCCTTGGCTGAAACTTTGGCCAGTGGCACGCCTGCTACGTCGGGGTCATCTGGTAATGTGGTTAATTATATGGGTCAAATGGCCATGGCAATGGGAAAGCTCGGAACTCTTGATGGCTTCCTACGCCAGGTAATTTGGTTTTAGATTTTATGTCACTCTGTTCCATCTAGTTACAGTTATACCTCGCTCATGCAACAAACAAGTAAAGTTGAAATCTTTGTCCATGTTTTCTCACTTTCATTTTTCCATCTCTTTCTATAACTTGCAGGCCGATAATCTTCGTCAACAAACACTTCAACAAATGCATCGCATATTGACAACCCGTCAATCAGCTCGTGCGCTTCTTGCAATAAACGACTACTTCTCCCGCCTTCGAGCTCTAAGCTCTCTCTGGCTTGCACGGCCACGAGAGTGAAAGGGGCATGGGAGTTCTCTCTAGTTAATCTGTCAAATTTATCAAACAAGTGCCTGAAGTGTGCTACCACACAGAATTGCATTGCTTCATTGGATGAAGCTGCTTCTGTCATAGGAATTGTACAATGGATGAAGATGAGTGATGGTGGTGTAGGGTGAAGTTTGTGATTGATATATACATATATATAGCTTTCACATTTTCAGTTGTTTAGTGTCGGTTGGTGATATTGTATGCTTATTACAATAATCTTTTCAGGTGATGTTTCATAGAACTGAATGGGAAAATAGGTTGTATCTGTAACTTACATTTGTATTACATCAACCTACACCAGAGATCATATTATAATTTATTTTCAAATAATATTCTTTGAGTAAGTAAACCATTTTGAGTTTACTGCAAAACCAGAGTTCTTGGTAATAATGGGTATTCGAACAAACAAAATATATTATAACACGTGCAGCACAATCCATTGTGTAGTTCTGCTGTCAAATTTCAAAGCGCAGCCACCAGATTAACTAACAAATACTTGATTTGTAAAATAGAGTTGAAATCCGAGGAGTTTATACATCCAAAAGTATCAAATTAAATTCCTCAGTCAAGCAAATCCGACACTGCTGTCTTCCTGAATGCATCGATTTGGGCCAATTTTCCTGCCAAAGCTTTGTTTGGAAACACATTATCTGCCTTCATTCTCTCTTTCATGCCGTAGGCTGGAGCCTTGGCATTAATGTATGCCTGTATTAGAGCTTGAAACTGGCTGAATCTAGCCACGTAACCTGATAGTCTCATCCTATGAAACATTTTCTCCGCATTGTGGACGTCACCCCTCCTTGCATACTGATCCAGGATAATCATGTAAGATGTAAACAATGGCTTCATCTGGTTTTTCTGGACCGCCTTCTGCAAGAAAGAATCTGCCTTTTCTACCTCCCCAGCTTCCACATAGAGTTTCACAACTGCATTCCATGTTAATGGACCGATTCGGCAACCGCTGTCTGCCATCTGCTTGACTAGATCCTTGCCCTTCGTCAGCATCTTATTGTCTGCATAAACCTTCAACATGGTAGAGTATTGTTTCGAGGAAAGCTTCTTCCATGTTTTTAAAACTCTATCAAAAATTTCCTCTGCTTCTTGGACGTTCTTCAGCTTTCCCCATGCAACAATGGCAGCCATGCATTCTTCAATGCGAGGATTAGCCTCGCAGATCTTCCAGACCCTCCTCACTTCATCTTCCATTTGTAGTTCTCCATAAAGGGGAAGTAAAAGTCTGCAAGGCCATCGAGATTCTTTGGAGCTCACATCTTCCATCTCCTTCAAGATGGCCTTGGCTTTGTCTTTAAGCCCACCTGAAGCATAGTGCTTCGCTAATATGGAAAGTGTATTTACATCAAGTTCGATTCCTTCAGCCTTCATTGTATCAACAACTTGTTCCATACCCACCATGTCATTTGAAAGGCCTTTAGCATCTATTAGGATCTTGTAAGTAAACAGAGAAGGCTTGACATTTTCTTTCTCCATCAACAACAGAACGTCGGCTATTTTCCTCTTGTCAAGTCTCTTGTAAAGAAGAAGCAACTGGTTGCAAGCAAAGGCTGTGATTGGAAATTCAAGGTCCTTCATTTTGTTAAATACTTCCTCTGCTTTTTTTACATTGTTGGCGACCACACAGTTAGCCAAAAGAGTTCGGTATATCACCTCCCCCTGGAATGATTTCGGGATTTTGGCGATGTAACCTTCTGCCCTATGGAGACCATGTACCTTTGCAATCAAGTCAAGGCGAGAAGCATAGTCTCTGTCAACGAACTCAAGTTGTCCACTTGCTTCCAACCACTCTGAAAACTGTGAAACCCATATAGCAATGCAAGTAATGAGTTGAAGAAATGATGAATAAGAATGTTGAACAAATAGGCAAAATATTTTTAAAATACGGTAGCTACAAAATTCTTGGTCGATAAACTGGCTAAAACTCGCATAACCATTTTCTTACCAATAATGGCTTTTATAAGACTAACAATAATAAATGCAAAATTCATATATACTAATAAATCAAGCAGTTACATGCAGCTCAACCTAATATCAAGCCATCTGAAAATTCTATACGCGGTTCTGGCACCATTTATTGAATGCCATAAGCCAGCTTAACAAATTTCTATACAAGCATTTGATAGTGGTACTTCTTGAAATCATTTTGTGTTTGTTAGACCGCATTACATTACTACTGATTATGGTATTTCTTAGAGATTTATCAATATTACCATCCTGAAACCATTGTGTCCGCTAGTCACATATACTTTATAGAGTTCTGCAAATCCCAAGAGTGACGAGATTAACTATAAACCTAAAACCATAGGAATGAATTCCATTGCTTGAAGAAGTAAAATCAAGTCAATTTACCTGCAAAGCCTTCCCAAACATTCGACGTCTTCGAAGATTGAGCATAGCCAGAGAGATGTCAGCACGGCTTAATTCTTTTCCTTCACTGACCCACTTGTCCAGTGCACTGGGAACAGATAAACCCGGAGCACTCCAAATAGCCTTGAACAGCTCTGAAGGAGCCCTTTTCGCAGATATCTTTTCACCAAGCTCAGTTTCAACCTCAGGTAAATCCAGTTCATTTTGAGTCCCATCATCATCAAGTTCTGATTCAGAGGTTAATTCCCCTTCATTTTCATCAGCTGCTTTATTATCTTCAAGTGCATTAGTGCTTGGAAGTGTTTCAAGTTCAGAAAACCCATCTTCCAAGTCATCTTCCTCTCCACTGTTCTCAGCACCAGCTTGTGAAGATAGACCATGGCTGCTAATAGAAAGCCCAGAGGACCGCCATGTTGCAAGGTTATTTCTCTCAAAAGAAATGCATCTATCAGATATAGCAGGGATGATAGCCGAACCAACTATATTTCCATCGCAAGAATATGGCGCCTCTAGTTTGCCAAAGACATACGAAGTTCTTATTCTATATCCTTGATTCCTAGAAAGAGAACACAAAAAATTGAGAGAGGGATATGAAAAATTGGAGGCATCGTACCCTCCGCACCGGTTACCGCAATATACAGGTACATATATTACACATACAGAAATACATACATACAAAAACAGTCGTTTGAATGATTAATAATGGATGATTTCGGGAAACTGACATCCCCCAAACTTGTTCTTCCTTACAGAGAGAAAAGGAAATCCCCCCTTGATAATAGGCCGACAACTGTGAAGATAGATTGTGAAACCCAGAAGCATTTAAATTGTAGAAATAACGAAGCTTCAGATTTGAGCTTGAATGCGAATAAAAACAGAAAAAAATGACACACAAGTTTTTACATTATTTCCTTCTGTGATGAGCACCGGAAAGTGGATGAGAAGCAAGCAAGAATCTTAGTTGCAGAAATAGTGAATGAAAGTGTGTAGTGACAAGAAGATTGAAAAGAAATGTATTGGCATTAAGGAATAAAGAAGGTAAGGTAAATAAGCGGAGAGGTGCAGTTAGAAGACGAGAAGCATACCTGAGAGGAGTCGAAGCTCTACGAAGAGCCCACATGATGAGATGATAATAGGAGTGAAGAGGTTAGTAGCAGAGGTGTAAGAGTGGAAAGGAGAGGGAGGGAGGGGGGATCGAAATAGGCGCGGCAGAGACGTTGTTGGTGTTAAACCCTAAAAACCCTTTCGTGTGTTGGACTCCCGTTCTTTATATCAGGCGGTGGACTCGGACCAAGGTTTAAAGCATAGCTGCTTGCTTAAATAATTTTATAAAAATATTGCATACATACTTTTAGAAAACTATAAATTAATAAATAAATATGTTGTTATAATTTTAAAAATAAATTAGTAAGCCATTATACTGATTTTCATGAAAATGTCAAAATAATTGGTAGAAAAAATAAATAAGGAAAGAAAAGAATAAAAAGAAAAACACTTCTTCTTCTTCTTCTTCTTCTTCTTCTTCTTCTTCTTCTTCGCACATCACTTTCCACCACCATCAAATCTTAACTCTCCTCACTCCTTCTCCTTCCATGCTTCCACACCTGGATCTCCCAAATCCCAAATCCTTCGTCGGCCTCGGACTAGATCACAACATTGTCAGAAATGCAGGACCGAACCGATATTCATGGGATCGCTTATACCTAACTCCACCTCCGCTACTCTATGCTACACTTGATGCCTTCTCGTCATTGGTAGTTATTATTTAACCGGGTATAGTTTTCTTAGATTTTGTTGGTTGTTTTTTACTTTTTCAAAAATCTAAATTAACCCGTTGAATGGAAGAGACTTAATTTTTTATGGCCATTTTGGCCAACTTTGGACAAGTTTTTGCTCACTACCTCCCATTTGTAGGATTAAGGTTGTTGGTTAGAGTATTCAACGGGATGGAAATCAAATGATCGAGTCTTCAGCAAATCTCTCTCCTCTTACTTTCGGTTATTTTTCTTCGAAGAAATTTTCTTCGACTTGTTTTTTTTTTTTTTTTTGTCGATGTTTTCCTCCCAATTGCCAGAAGTCAACAAGTTGTATCAGAACCAGGTTTCGATCCTGGGGTCTGTGGTAAGAGAGGTCACCTGAGCAAGAATTGCTGGAGCAAGCTCAGGAACAAAGAGAAGCCCGAGAAGGCCCATGTGGCTCAATCCAATGAGAATGAGCCAGCTCATTTCATGGTAAGTGCATCGGTCTTACTCGACGTCCCCAATTTCGATTCCAAATCCACGGAGGTGGAGGTAATCAACGACGGCGTAACTTCGCTTCTGGTGAGCGTCAAACCCGAGAAAGAGCTCGAGCTGGGCGTAGCAAAGTCACTAGCTGGGGAGCCAATTCAACTGAAGGAGAAGCGAGTGTCTGCTCAGATCGGCAAGAGGGACGAGCATCATGAGCACTGGCGATGGGTCCTCAACACAGGGGCAGCAAACCATATGACCAGGGCTTAGATCTGCATTCTCCGAGCTCAACTCGAGGATTCGCGGGATGGTGAAATTCGGCGACGGCTCCGTCGTCGAGATCGAAGGGCGCGGCACCATCCTGTTCATTAGCAAGGGAGGCGAGCATCGCAAGTTCACTGGCGTCTACTTCATCCCGAGGCTCAAGGCTAACCTTGTGAGCCTGGGTCAAGTCGATGAGGTCGGCTGCTTCATTTCCATCGAGCGCGGACTACTCAAAATCTGCGATGATCGACGATGGCTGCTCACACAAGTTCGGCGCATGACAAACCGTCTTTACATCCTAGAGTTGGAGATAGAGCAACCCGTCAACCTCTCGGCCAAGACCGAAGAGGTATCTTGGAGGTGGCACGCAAGGTACGGGCACTTAAACTTTCCTGCTCTACAAAAATTACACAAGGAAGAGATGGTGCACGGTTTGCTGGCAATCAAAGGCGTGCAAACCGTGAACAAGTTGTGCGACGGGTGCCTCATCGGCAAACAGAGGCGCACCCCATTTCCGTCTCAGGCATCGTACCGCGTCGGTGAGCCATTGGAGCTCATGCACGATGATATCTACGGGCCCATCAAGCCGGCGACCCTAGGCGGTAAGACCCTCTTCCTCCTGCTGATCGATGACAAAAGCCATTTCATGTGGTTGATCCTGCTGCAAGCGAAAAATGAGGCGGCAGAGGCGGTTAAGCACATTCAAGCGCGAGCGGAGGCCGAATGCGGGAAGAAGATGTGAGTGCTGCGCACAGACCGAGGTGGAGAATTCACCTCGACAAGTTTCGATAAGTACTGCGACGAGTTCGGCATACAACGGCACCTAACGGCGCCCTACTCCTCCCATTAGAACGGAGTGGTGGAGCACCGAAATCAGACCATCGTCAGGATAGTAAGGTCTTTGCTGATGAGGGCCGAGGCCTAGGAGATTCTGGGGAGAGGCGGTAATGACGGCAGTCTACCTCCTTAATCGTTTGCCAACATGAAGCCTCGACGGGAAGACGCCACAAGAGGCCTGGTACAACAAGAAGTCAGTGGTACATCATCTACGAGTGTTCATCTGCGTTGCATACATGAAGGTAGCGCGTCCCCACCTCGCCAAGCTCGATCCCAGGAGGCTGAAAGTTGTCTTCATCGGCTACGAACCCGGGAGCAAGGCGTACAGACTCTATGATCCTGCGGGGGGACGAGCTCACGTGTCTCGCGACGTCATCTTCGACGAAAGTACCTTCTAGCAGCGGAACGATGTGATCGAGGCAGATCACAACCCAAATCAATTCACGGTGGAGTACCTCGTCACCGAGCCGGAAGAAGGAGGAGCCCAACATCAGGAACCGTCACCGCCGCCAGCAGCTACACCCTCTGAACCAGTGGAGTTTGCAATACCACGGACTGCGGATTCGACACTGGATGCCGATCACGATGATGATCTGGTGGCGAGGTACTGGAGGATGGACGACCTAGTGGGAGGAGGTGAACCACCTGGACTGGCGGCGTGCGAACTCGAATAAGAGGTGGCTGAACTGCATGCCATCAGCGTAGATGAACCGAACACCTTCGCCGAAGCAGAAAGGAACCCGTGTTGGCTGAAGGCAATGCAGGAAGAAATGACATCCATCACCGAGAATCAGACGTGGAGTCTGGAGGATATGCCGCCGGGATACCGAGCCATAAGGCTCAAATGGGTCTTCACACTGATGTATCATATGAAGAAAAATATATGAAACAGTTGCAGCCTTAAGCCATGAAATTAGATTTGTGCTTTGCCTTCTTTATCGAGAAGGAAGATGAGAGGAATGAGACATCGACATGGTGAGAGCATAGAGTATTCGCATCTCACCCATGAGAAGATTTTATAAACTGTAAATTTTGTTAGGTTAGTTTTAAGTTATTAATATTGTTTCACTTGAATGAGTAGAGCCTGTTCTTTATTAATATGAGCGAGAAACCAATTGAAAGAACGAAAGTTTATTAATCGCTGGATCGATTGTACATGTAGTTTAGCAAACAGATTATGTTTTAAACTGAAGTAGCAAGATAAACACACCCTACCCGCCAAACAACCAATTAATTAATATTTTGAAACATTGATCTTTGCTGCAAAAGGAGAATTAATAGAGCCAATCCAAAGAACCCCATCCTCTCCCTCTTCCACTTCAGAAAAACTTCTCCCTCTCAACTCTGCTTTACCTTCAATAATCTCCATTACTGCACCTTCCTCACTAACCCTCACTCCAACCCCACCTCTCCCTATCCACTTCCCCAAATAGCTATAGATCTTGTCCACGTCCAAAGGAAGCTTCGCTAACCCCTTCCCTATCCAACTCTGAGACAGGATGAACCTCAACACCCCTCCTCTTCTGGAGTGAATTCCCACCCAAAACCCCCCTCCTTTACTACTACGACTCCTCTTGATGTTGTCCGGGAACCCCGGGAGCTCCCCCACCACCTCGGCTTTGCCCGTCCCCAGCCAGTACTTGAGAATCCTGCACTTGGTGGTCTCCGCGAGTAGAAGGAAATCCCTGTTTTTGCTCAGTGACACTCCGTTCGGAAATGAAAGGTTTCCCAACAGAAGGCTTAGTTGTTTGGATTTTGGATCATATTTCATTAGCCTTCCTGAACTGTCTCCACTTAATATAGCCGACGCGAAGTTCCTGCACAAAAACACACAACATTTAAATGTCTTTCTCTATATACATAATCAATCAATCAATAATTTTTTTTTAAAAACGTTCGAGTCTAATTTGAAGTTTTATAAATATGGTTAAACTTGTTAGAAAATATTATTAAATTTATTAGAACGTTTCATATTTTTTAATAAAAATGATCTTTAAAAAGTTTATATATATATATATATATATAACAAAATACATATAAAGATGACAAAAATTTATCGAGATCGATCCGTGAATTTCCAAGAATCCCGCCCCATTCCTACAAAATAAAAACAAGTACGGCTTTGGGTCTCCGCCCCATGCACGTCTTTACAGTTGGCCATCATTTTTTTAAAATTTTGTGTGTGTTTTTGGATGTGAGAGATGGGTGGAAAGAATAAAATAAAATACCTTCTGTGATAGTGGGAAGAGCTATCGGTGAAATAGACATGTCCAGAGAGTTGATCAATGTCCAAACTGTTGGCGAAGCTGAAAGAGTGGAACCCCAAAACCTGGTCCTCCTCCATCTCGAATTCAACTGGTTTGGCTAAACCGCCGTTTGCGCCGACTCGAAGCAATCCCATGTAGGCGTCGGCGATGTACAGATCCCCGTCGCCGTGTTTGAATCGGAGCCCTAATGGTCTCCCACATCTCTCCTCCTCTTTCTCTCCCTCCTCTTCACAACCTGTTCTGTTCATTTTCATCTAGAAATCATCACCACATAAAAATGTGTGATGCGCCAACAGAAATGACAAACAGCAGATCCCAACTTACACGTGGAGATCATGCATAAGTAACCAACCAAGAGACGGCCCAAAATGGTAACACAAATAAAGTTTGCATTTTATTTTTGGGAGTTCCTATTATTTTTTCTTTTTTAAATTCTCAATCAAAGTTGACACAACAACAACATCAACAACATCAGCCACACTTTTATCGTAATCCATCAAAATCTTATCCCATTCAATACTTCTCACCAATTATCATAATCCTTCTCTCCCCCACAAATTTTTTTCGTTTCTAAATTATAAACAAGTTAATTATAACAATATTAATGCAACCGAATATAGTGCGTCAATATTTTCAGATCAATACTAATTTATATTATTAACACATTCAAATCAATATTACTTTTTATTTTAAATTTCAGACTCAACTTTAACCATACCTCCAACTATAAGAAATCTCAACCCCACAAAGAATCTTAAATTTTAAATTCCCAAAACTGAAAAAAGAAAAATAGTGAAGAAAGTGAATATTATATTTTAATATTTAAATAATTATATATATTATTTTTTCCCCTCTGGTTGCCCCTCGAGAGCAACAAATGAAGCCAGCTTGGTAAGGTGCCAGTTCTTGAAAATATATATTTTTTAAGAACATCATGCATTTGAATAAATAATAGAAAAGGAAAAAGAAAATACAAGCGTCGTGATTACCTGTTTGGAGAAGTAAAGGCGAAATCGATCCACCGTTGTTTATCAGGCAGCCATTTGATAATCCTACCGTCGGAGATGCCGGTGTAAGGTCCTCCGCCGGCGCTGTCGAAGGCGAAACTCTCCGGCCCTACACCGCCGTCAATTGACAAATATTCTATGTTCGGTTCATCGAGAGTCTCCGGCGGCGGCGGTGAAAATCTGGTGGTGCTGATGGCGAGTAGGGCGAATATGGCGGCGACTGCGGTGGCGGTGAGGCAGAGGTTGGAGTACATAGCTTTTGCACTGTGAGAGAGAGAGAACGGAATTTCAGAGATGTGTGAGATGTGTGAGATGCGTGAGATGTGTGAAGGTTTTTTTGTTAGTTTTGTTCTGTAGACCTGTGAGTGGCAATTATGAAATTTACATTATTGAGACTGTTTCTGGCCCCACTTGGTCCTTACAGGTTGAGAATGAGATGAGGTTATTTTGGTCATCTTACAACACTATCAACCTTTTACACTCCAAATCCCTGTTTTTTTAGACAATAATAAATACCCACAATTTCAATTTTCATACTTTTAAAAAACTAGCATCAATTATTTGTTATATTCATTGTATTATACTGTTTTTTTTTTTAAATAAAAGTTGAACAAATACTCTATTTATTCCTACTTATAATAAAAACAAGTGGTTTATAAAATAATATATGATATTTTAAATAATGCCATTTTACTACTCATAAAAAAAAAATATATAATATGTAATCAGGTTGACCTATTCGAGGATCTTCGGATCTATGTTTATTTCAACGTCGTCGTCCTTTTTCATCTTTAGGTGCCTAGGTATCCACCATAAGCTTTTATTCATTTGAACCTTGCTCTTAACTTTAAGGCTATAAAATGCTGCTAAATGGAAGGATCTTGTGAGAAAACCATAAATTTTTGTGTAAAAAATGGAAGAACTAATTTTTTTTTTTNTACTACTACGACTCCTCTTGATGTTGTCCGGGAACCCCGGGAGCTCCCCCACCACCTCGGCTTTGCCCGTCCCCAGCCAGTACTTGAGAATCCTGCACTTGGTGGTCTCCGCGAGTAGAAGGAAATCCCTGTTTTTGCTCAGTGACACTCCGTTCGGAAATGAAAGGTTTCCCAACAGAAGGCTTAGTTGTTTGGATTTTGGATCATATTTCATTAGCCTTCCTGAACTGTCTCCACTTAATATAGCCGACGCGAAGTTCCTGCACAAAAACACACAACATTTAAATGTCTTTCTCTATATACATAATCAATCAATCAATAATTTTTTTTTAAAAACGTTCGAGTCTAATTTGAAGTTTTATAAATATGGTTAAACTTGTTAGAAAATATTATTAAATTTATTAGAACGTTTCATATTTTTTAATAAAAATGATCTTTAAAAAGTTTATATATATATATATATATATAACAAAATACATATAAAGATGACAAAAATTTATCGAGATCGATCCGTGAATTTCCAAGAATCCCGCCCCATTCCTACAAAATAAAAACAAGTACGGCTTTGGGTCTCCGCCCCATGCACGTCTTTACAGTTGGCCATCATTTTTTTAAAATTTTGTGTGTGTTTTTGGATGTGAGAGATGGGTGGAAAGAATAAAATAAAATACCTTCTGTGATAGTGGGAAGAGCTATCGGTGAAATAGACATGTCCAGAGAGTTGATCAATGTCCAAACTGTTGGCGAAGCTGAAAGAGTGGAACCCCAAAACCTGGTCCTCCTCCATCTCGAATTCAACTGGTTTGGCTAAACCGCCGTTTGCGCCGACTCGAAGCAATCCCATGTAGGCGTCGGCGATGTACAGATCCCCGTCGCCGTGTTTGAATCGGAGCCCTAATGGTCTCCCACATCTCTCCTCCTCTTTCTCTCCCTCCTCTTCACAACCTGTTCTGTTCATTTTCATCTAGAAATCATCACCACATAAAAATGTGTGATGCGCCAACAGAAATGACAAACAGCAGATCCCAACTTACACGTGGAGATCATGCATAAGTAACCAACCAAGAGACGGCCCAAAATGGTAACACAAATAAAGTTTGCATTTTATTTTTGGGAGTTCCTATTATTTTTTCTTTTTTAAATTCTCAATCAAAGTTGACACAACAACAACATCAACAACATCAGCCACACTTTTATCGTAATCCATCAAAATCTTATCCCATTCAATACTTCTCACCAATTATCATAATCCTTCTCTCCCCCACAAATTTTTTTCGTTTCTAAATTATAAACAAGTTAATTATAACAATATTAATGCAACCGAATATAGTGCGTCAATATTTTCAGATCAATACTAATTTATATTATTAACACATTCAAATCAATATTACTTTTTATTTTAAATTTCAGACTCAACTTTAACCATACCTCCAACTATAAGAAATCTCAACCCCACAAAGAATCTTAAATTTTAAATTCCCAAAACTGAAAAAAGAAAAATAGTGAAGAAAGTGAATATTATATTTTAATATTTAAATAATTATATATATTATTTTTTCCCCTCTGGTTGCCCCTCGAGAGCAACAAATGAAGCCAGCTTGGTAAGGTGCCAGTTCTTGAAAATATATATTTTTTAAGAACATCATGCATTTGAATAAATAATAGAAAAGGAAAAAGAAAATACAAGCGTCGTGATTACCTGTTTGGAGAAGTAAAGGCGAAATCGATCCACCGTTGTTTATCAGGCAGCCATTTGATAATCCTACCGTCGGAGATGCCGGTGTAAGGTCCTCCGCCGGCGCTGTCGAAGGCGAAACTCTCCGGCCCTACACCGCCGTCAATTGACAAATATTCTATGTTCGGTTCATCGAGAGTCTCCGGCGGCGGCGGTGAAAATCTGGTGGTGCTGATGGCGAGTAGGGCGAATATGGCGGCGACTGCGGTGGCGGTGAGGCAGAGGTTGGAGTACATAGCTTTTGCACTGTGAGAGAGAGAGAACGGAATTTCAGAGATGTGTGAGATGTGTGAGATGCGTGAGATGTGTGAAGGTTTTTTTGTTAGTTTTGTTCTGTAGACCTGTGAGTGGCAATTATGAAATTTACATTATTGAGACTGTTTCTGGCCCCACTTGGTCCTTACAGGTTGAGAATGAGATGAGGTTATTTTGGTCATCTTACAACACTATCAACCTTTTACACTCCAAATCCCTGTTTTTTTAGACAATAATAAATACCCACAATTTCAATTTTCATACTTTTAAAAAACTAGCATCAATTATTTGTTATATTCATTGTATTATACTGTTTTTTTTTTTAAATAAAAGTTGAACAAATACTCTATTTATTCCTACTTATAATAAAAACAAGTGGTTTATAAAATAATATATGATATTTTAAATAATGCCATTTTACTACTCATAAAAAAAAAATATATAATATGTAATCAGGTTGACCTATTCGAGGATCTTCGGATCTATGTTTATTTCAACGTCGTCGTCCTTTTTCATCTTTAGGTGCCTAGGTATCCACCATAAGCTTTTATTCATTTGAACCTTGCTCTTAACTTTAAGGCTATAAAATGCTGCTAAATGGAAGGATCTTGTGAGAAAACCATAAATTTTTGTGTAAAAAATGGAAGAACTAATTTTTTTTTTTAAGGGTTGTTGAGGTTTAAAGTCATTGATTATTTATTCTCCTTCAAGCTTTTCTTGCTTAAATGAGGCTTAGGTTGCACAGAAATGATTTGAGCTACGGTGGAGATTAAATGGGCAAAGCTTTCATATCAATTCTCCTAAATTTTCTCAAATTATTGAAATTAGTGAATTTATAGAAATTTTTCATTGGCGAGTGAGTTTGGTGATGACCATCCCAAAAGTGGAACCATATGGCAAAAATGAAGAAAGATTCAAAATCCGAATGTATTAACCAAAAGTTAAATAAATCAACAGGAGTTTCTTCTCAAACCCCTTTTAGTATCTCCTACTCGAAAAGGGAAAACTAGAGCTGAACTATCTCGAGAAATAGCTTAAAAACAGCCTACTTTAATTCAAAAACACCCACAAACGGCATCAGGACAGATCCAAACCACAGCTTTCCATCCTTCTCTTCCACTTCACTAATAAACTTCAAAGTTTTCCCTTCACAGTCTTCCAATACCTCCAAAATCTCTCCTTCCTCACTCAACCTAACCGCAGTTGCATGGGCCTTCCCTCCCACCAGCAACCCATGCAATTTCTTGAAGTCAACAGGAAGTTTCAACAGTACCTTCCCAAACCAAGAGGCTGAAGAAACCAATCTCCCAACAAGTCCCTTTTTAGCATGCAAAGCAACCCAATACTCGCCTTTGGGGTTCCTTCTAATATTGTCGGGATACCCCGGAAGCTTGGCGAGAACGTCCAAGTTTCCTGCATCAGGACCTCGAAGCCAAAATCTGAGGATCCTGCCAGTGGTGGACTCAACAACAAGCAGATAGGACTTGTCTTTGCTTAATGCAACACCATTGGCAAAAGCAAGGCCTTGCAATAAAACCGTAACTTGTTTACTATCTCGGTCGTACTTAAATAACCTTCCCGTGCTATCTCCGCTCAAGATCGATGCCATGAACTGTCTGCAAGTATAAAACATTCACAAAACAAAAGTTGAAGAAAAGTCAAATATTACCCCAGCAAGTTTATGGTCTTCGGTTCCAGTTTCAAATGAAGTTTTGACATATAAAAGCAAATTACACTCTCATATTCAAAGGAAAATGTTAAAATAGAGATAACCAATGACATTACAAACATAGTACTCCAGTTAAGCATTAGGAAAAAAAAAAAAACAGAGGAACCAGAAAAACAATGAGCTTATGTTCATCAGATAAAGTTTTTTATCAGATGTTTCAGATTTTTTTCTCAGATTTTCTTCTTTAAGATCAATTGCTAAAACGAGGCATGAATATGCTTTTTAAGTCTTAATTACCTTCTTTGGAAAACTGTACTGCTGTCTGTAAAGTAGATCACATCACCTTCTTCATCAATATCAAGATCATTTGTGAAGCGAAGTGGCTTGCCTTCGAATTCAGTCACAAGTTTTGTTGCCAAACCTCCAGCCGGTCCCACTACATGAAGACCGAGATAGGCGTCGGCAATATAGAGGTCTCCAGTTTTCTTATCAAAACGCAGTCCTAATGGCCTCCCACAAACATGCTCCAATTCAAGAGCAAACGGGCGAACACACTCACTCCTTCCAGAACATAAAACGAAAGAATTAACAGGTGAACCTGAAAAATGAATAATACTTGCCAAACAATCATATGCACATCCAAAACAGACATTCAAATAGTACCAATATGAGCAGAAAAGTAAAAGTTATAAGACAGAAAAATGGAATACTTCAAAACCTGATATCATTGGCTCAAATTGTATAGAGATCATGGTTTGTTTTTCTTAGGCCTAAGACGGTTGTCTTCCCCAGTGTCAATCCAATTTTAGTTTCCCTGAGATATCTTACTCAAGCAATCACGGGCCGACAAAGAGAAGCTCACTAAGTGTAGCAGTTGTGTCAAGAACAAATAATTGGTGGACAAGATGCATAATCCCCAAAAGGTTTGGCAGGGTGGGTGGGATAGCCAAGCCAGCCATTTCATGATACTAAGCCAGTCATATCCAAGAAAAGAACGAAACATTGTGAATTCACCAAGCAAAATGAGAGATTGATTTGAACCCTCAGTAGTTGTTTGTTTTAAAAAATTTACCGATTTTCAAGACCAGAGCAATTCCTACCTAAAAATGATTCCTCAACAAGTTGAAATGGAAGTTAAGGCAAAAAAAAAAAAAAAAAAAACAAGAAACCAAAGACGAGGTCAATGCATCATTGGATAATCAATTCTCCTAATCAAACAATCTTACAATAAAAAATTCAACTCTGATCCTGTCTAATAAAAAAACAAAAGTTGCAGCCGAGCATCACCATTCCATGACAGTATTACACAATATACAGCTTCAAAAAAGAACTGAAAAAGGCCTCTCCTAAAACATTTCAATTCTCCTCCATCGCAAACTTTTTGTACAAACTCAGAATTTCTTTCACATAGAATCAAACAATCTGATGAATATACAATTTTTCTCCCAAAGATAGAATCAACACAAGAAGATAAGATTGTACCTCTGAGAACTAGTGACAGCGAAATCAGTCCACCCACGGCCATCGCCTTGCCACTTGAGAATCCGGCCATCTGCGACGCCGGTGTAAGGGCCATCTCCGTTGGGGTCAAAAATCAAACTCTCTGGTCCAGTTGCTCCGGTGACCGGGATAACGGTGGCGGAATGGAGATAATCATGGGTTCCGGAAATCTGCGGCGGCGCTAGGACCTGATTAAGCTGGAGGAACGGGGTTTGGAGCGAGAAGATGATGGCGACGAGGGCTGCAATCGTGGCCACCGTCAATGTAAGCATCGAGTTCATGGGGGGGGTGTGTGCGTGTTTGTTTGGGGGAATGGAAAGGGAAGCGAGTGGATCGGGTAGAAATGGGAATGGTTGGAGTGGAGAAGCGGAGTTTACGAGTCTGAGTAAGGTGAAAAGATTGCTTTCATATTCTATTTTTGTATTCTTTAATGACTTTTCTCCTCGATCTTCCACCCTAAACCATTGTATTGGTATCGTTTTTCGGCCGGCGGGTCCAATTGCAGTAATAAATATTTTGAACTTTAATAACTATTTCCTTTTTATTCTTAAAAAGCGTGTAGGTTTAATTTAATTTTATTTCTCAAGAAAACAAATTTTAAAATCAACCTTTTACGAGCTTTCCAAATCAAGCCTTATTTTCTTGTTCTTCCTTTTTCAAATATTATCATTTTCACAGTAATTTAAAATTATTTATATTTTTTTCCCGAGTGTTTAAATAAAAATCCACGTCGGAGAGAGAGAGAGAGAGAGAGAGAGAGAGAGGAAGAATAGGGAAAAGAGCCAAAGAGAGATGAGTGATTGGGGGGCTTTGTGAGGGCGCGAGTATTGCGGTTGGAAGCGTCTCTCTCCCCCGTCTGATTTCTCTTAACAAACTTTTTCCTATTTTAAAGAATTGCAATAACACAGACCTCAAAACTCTCCCCTCCAGACTTGGACTTCTTCTCCGTATTGGTATCATAATAAGAGTCTCCCACCCCCCACCTCCGCAACACACCAAAATAAAATTAGAAGAATTCAAGACCCAATTAAAATTTAGATTATATTTTTTTAATTCAACCCCCCCAATAAATATACCTCCTTCTCCCTAATTTCCCATTTATCCCTCTTCTCGCCTCTGGCTTTACTTTAACCTAAGGCAGAGTTCCCATCTCTGCCTTAGCCATTTCCCGTTATTCCAACTCATCCACCCACCATCCACCATGGTCTTCCAAGATTTCGACCAGATCTCCGAACGCCGTCGCGCCGAGAGAGCGCGCAAGTTCCGTAATAGGGTCATCATCGCGGTCGTCTCAACCTTCCTCATCCTTGTTCTCGTCGTCGCCGCCGTCTTCGTCCAAGTCTCCCCGCCCACCAAATCCACCACCAGAGACGGCGCCGGCAGCGGCAGCAGCCGCAGCAAGGGAAGCTCCAAAGATCATGCGACATCCGACGTCAAACAGGTGTCCCGCGCCCAGAAAATGATTACCATGATATGCAACTCCACAGACTATAAAGCCAAATGCGAGAGCACTTTGAAGGAAGGCGTAGAGACCCACCCCGATTCCTCCGACCCCAAAGACCTCATCAAGCTCGCCATCGCCGCCGTCTCCACCGAGGTTAACTCCGCCCTGAAAAAAGCTTCCGCCATGAACTTCCCCACCCCGGAGGAAAAAGGGGCGTTCGAGGACTGCAAGCTCCTGTTGGAAGAAGCGGTGGAGGAATTAGACAGGTCTGTGAGCGAATTGAGCAGGAAGGATCTGGGAAAGCTGACAGAGAAAACGACGCCGGATCTCAACAACTGGCTGAGCGCGGTGATGTCGTATCACGCCACTTGCGTGGATGGGTTTCCAGGGGGGAAGTCGAAGACCGAAATGGAGGCGACGTTGAAGGCCGGAAAGGAACTGACGAGTAATTCGCTGGCGATGATTTCGCAGGTGGCTACGTTCTTCTCAACGTTTGAAAAGTCGGATGGTGGAGGAGCTGCAACACGACGTCGTCTAATGGCCAAAGATGGGCTACCCAGCTGGATGACCAGCTACGAACGCAGGATGTTGAAGCGCGATGCGGAAGACGATAAGCCGACGCCTAATGTTGTGGTCGCCAAAGATGGGTCCGGAAATTTCAAGACCATTAACGAAGCGTTGGCTGCCATGCCTGCAAAATATGATGGACGGTAGGCTCTGTTTTTTTTTTTTTTTAGTACTTTATGTAATTCATATGAATAATGTATTGTATTAAAATGGATGAAAACAAGCAGGTACGTGATCTATGTTAAGGAAGGGATCTACGAGGAGACGGTGGTGATTACCAAAAAAATGGCGAATGTTACAATGTACGGAGATGGATCTCAGAAGAGCATGATCAGTGGGAATAAAAACTCAGCGGACGGAGTTCGAGCCTTCCAAACCGCATCTTTTGTGGCACTTGGAGACGGGTTGTTGGCGAAAGGGATCGGATTCAGAAACACTGCAGGTCCAGAAAAGCAGCAGGCCGTAGCCGCCAGAGTCCAGGGCGACAGAGCCATATTCGTGAACTGTCGGTTCGAGGGGTTCCAAGACACGTTGTACGCGCAAGCCCATCGGCAGTTCTACAGGAGCTGCTTGATTACAGGCACAGTGGACATCATCTTCGGGGACGCGGCGGCCATTTTCCAAAATTGTAATTTCATGTTGAAAAAGCCGTTGGATAAGCAAGCGAACGTAGTAACGGCACAGGGGAGAAGTGACAGACATGAAACCACGGCCACTGTGCTGCAAAACTGCAAGATATTGCCGGACAAGACGCTGGAGGGTGTGAAGGCGCAGTTCAAAAGCTACTTGGGGAGGCCTCGGAATGAGTACTCCAGGACCATAGTAATGGAGTCCGAAATTGAAGATATCATTCACCCCGATGGGTGGATGCCTTGGGACGGGGACTTTGCACTCAAAACCTTGTACTATGCTGAGTTTAACAACAAAGGGCCTGGGGCTAAGACCGATGCCAGAGTGAAATGGCCTGGTTTTAAGGTGATTGATAAGGAAGAGGCTGCAAAGTTTACGATAGGAACTTTTCTAGACGTGGATTGGATCCAGAGCTCCTCGGTTTCTGTTCATGTCGGCCTGTTTTGATATAACACCAAAAAAGAAAAAAAAAAAGAAAAATCCATTTTCTCATCTCCTTTTCGTCCACTTTTCCGATTTGTTACATGCATGCATGCCTCCTCAATTTTTTTCTATTTATTTCTATTTCTACTTCTTACTTCTTGTATTTATACATATACAACGCCCAAATACTCTAACAAAACTAGAGATTCCCTCGTAATTGTTTTTTCTTAAAAAAAAACAACAAATTTTTTCTTGTATATTTTTCTTTTCTTTTTTTATATCATTTTATTTATTAGGTATGAATGAGCCTTGTTTTATATTTATAATTATTTTTTAAATCAAATAACGAGATCAAATAAATTATAAATGAAATGGAGATCTTAATAAATGAAGAAGTTTTTTGTTTATAATAAATGTCAAATAAATCATAATTCATAACTAGACATTCTCGAGAATTTGATGATGACCGAACATTCTCAAGGATTAATACAATTGACAATAATAAAGTGATTTGGGGAATGTGACAATAAAAGATTAGAGAAAAGAAGAACTATCAACAATCAAGTATTGTGAGCAAAAGACAGGAGAGGGTTAGAGAAAAGAAGAACTATCAACAATCAAGTATTGTGAGCAAAAGACAGGAGAGGGTTCAAATGAATGGTGGACGTGGTGACAATCATAGAGGAAGAAAAGGGCATAAATTGAGAATAGTGTACTTTATTAATATACCTAACACAAAATTACTCTAAACTAGCTACACTTGTATTTTTTTTTTTTAGTTTTTACGATTGAACTATGAAAACAACGATGTACTTTGTTGAGGTATGTAATGACTTTTAATTCATGTAAGTATTTCTCAACAATGATCTAGTTCATATCCATTTATTTATGTATTTCTGATGAATTTCAGTTTCAAATTTACAAATTAAAAAATGAGTGGGCACCTTTTAAATTTTTAAAATTTAGAAAGTTTTTATTTTTATTTTGAACGTGGGCAGTTTGAACATTATATATAATTTATAATTAATATTATTCATTCCATTTATTTAAATTAAAATTAATATTCAAATGTTGTTAATAAAAATAGACAAATAATAATAATAATAGAAAAGATAAGAGAGAAAAATAGCGATGAGAAAAATGATGGATGTGAGCGGTATATGGAGGAAAGAGAGTATAAATCTGGAGTGGGCTTGGAAGGTGTACCAATGAATCTGAAATCCAAACCCAGTCCAAGTCCAAATCCATGGGCCAAACGCGCAAAAAAATCCTGTCTGAGACACCCGTCCCCGTGGTTTACCCAAGTGTTGAACGTAATAGCAAGTAACCGAAAAGAAGTTGAGAGAGGTGTTCGTCGTCGGAGAACGGAGTCTGAGACTTTTCTGAGTGGAGGCTCCACAAACAAGTCGACCTCCATGGCTGCCAAGGCCTCCCCTCTTGGGTTACCCAAGTCCGGTGCAATTTCCAAGGGCTACAATTTTGCTTCTAGATGGGAACAGGTACGCTCATCATTTCCAATTTACTCCTCATTTCGTTCCATCTTGAATCCTGAAATTTGCTTCTCACTCTTCGATCTCGCTCTTGTCCAAATCCTGCTTCTCAATGTGGTTTAATGCGACGAGATCTGTTTGCTCGACTTCTTCTTTCTCTCTTCCTTTGCGTTTTGTTTGTAGTTCTGTCTTTTCATCATCTGTTTATCCGATTTGTGCCCAGAATGCTCCTCTAACGGAGCAACAGCAAGCGGCGATTGCGACGCTCTGTCATGCTGTTGCTGAGCGACCACTTCCCGCTGATCTGGTGAGTGCTCTTTATTTTCAATCTGTTTCTACTTCGCGTTCTCTATTTCTTCATCTCGTAATCAAGTGGTGGGGACTACCAGTTTATACGTTGTGTTTAGACAGGAAAATGTTAATATATATTCTTTTTAATTCAATAACTAGGCCTTCGTGTTAAATATTATTGTAGGCACAAGACCGTATAGGTGGTAAAGAAAATGCCTTGTCTATTTCGGTTAAGGATACCAGCAACGAAGATTCTGATGCTATCGAAGCTGTTTTGGTCAATACCAATCAGGTATTGTATTCTGTACGCTGCATCCAATCTCTTCTGCATTTTTTGTTTTCTTACATTATTTCTGATGGTAACAATCATAATCTTCTAGATGCTAGCTCTTGAGGACTAACATTTGGTACATGGGCATTGCCCTGTCTCCTTCCTGTTCAGAATTGTCTCAAATTCTTGCATTAATGTTAGAGACATCCCCTTTGATTTCGTCCAATTGAATTTATTTTTGGAATTATTGGAAGCTTTTTCACATTTCGTTACATTTTTAAGAACATATATTAAAAAGAAGAAGAAGAAGAAGAAGAGAAAAGGGGACAACGTAGGGGCTGGGTAGAGAAACCCCACCCACCACAAAGACACAATAGGAAATGTATTCCAATGAAGATTTATCCAATTTAAAAAAGTGTGGTTTCCAAAAGTACAGTTCACACATTTCATTAATTAACGAACTCCCTGTTTCTTATCAAAAACCAAAAGACAAAAAAGAAAAAGAAAGATAGAGGTGTACTTACTGTTCGATAATTTTCAAATGATATACAATGCTGGATTATAACAATTTGCTGATGTCTTGCCTTGTGTTATCTTCCTTGGGATGATTTATTTTCACTTTATGATTGTTCGGTTTTGTTGAAGCCATACCACTAAAATTTTTACTCTTCCTAATGAATCTCATGTAGTTCTACAAATGGTTTTCTGATCTTGAATCAGCCATGAAGTCTGAGGTTAGTACAAATTAGATAGTTTCTCTAATTTATCTTGCATGCTCATGACAACGTTCTTGTTGATCATTCTATTCATTTTTGTAGACAGAGGAGAAATACCACCACTACTTGAACTCTTTAACAGATCGCATAGGAACATGTGATGATATACTTCGCCAGGTAATATGTTAGTTTTTTTCTGATCAATATGAAAGAATTTTTTATTTAGATAAAGCCTAATTTTCATCGAGAAAATATGAAAGAAAACTCTGGGAATACAAAAAAGGAAAAAAAAAAAAAAACAGAAGCCCAATTAGCCTAAGAAGTTGCTCCAGTCGAGCAAAATAAGACTACAACATGGAGACCCAAAGAGAGATATGATAACGAACCTAAATGACTAAACACACCGTTTTACTTACAAATTTTAAAAAATTAATTCTCCCTAGTGGCGCATTGGCCAAAGCATGTTGCTTGTAGCCACATGCTCATTCCATACCCTTCTACCTTGCTTTGATTGTATGCCTTTCATTCTTGCATAGTTATTTATTATTCTTGTAATTTTGTTGGCGTATGACTCCTTGCCACTTTTGATGTTTACACCGACCAAAGACAATTTACCTCAAAATGTACTATAGAAGGACATGACTAATTGTCAAATCTTCCTACATGGGTAATATGCCATCAATGTTGTTTTCCCTTATTGCTGGCTGGCATATAACATCTACTTTCTTAAAACGCTTTCCATAACGTTTTTCAAAGCTTTCTTAACTTGTTTTCTAAAACCATTTCCAAGAATGGTGATAGAGGCTACGAGATAGGACGTTTGTGCCATCGACGATCCAAGTTTGAGTTGGCTAACTTACTTAAGAGTGAGAGTATGTGTCCCATAATTGTTTCGTGAGTCCCAAAGAAGTTCGATTCTGACACAAAACGGGTACATAAGGGGTTTAATGGAAGGGCTGCACCTTGAGACTTTGAATTTCCTTCATGTATAAAAATGTTATTTTTTTTTTTAAAAAGGAAACAAAAATTCTCATTGAAAAAATGGAAAAGATTAATGTTAAAAAATACAAAGTGCCTAAATGGGAAAAGTAAAAAACAGAAAATAATACATAAGATACTATAAAGGAAATATAAAAGTATTCCAATTAAGACATAATCATGAATGGAATAATTTGCAAAGTGTTTGGAAAGAGATCACCATGAAGAGGCATTAAGGTGAGCCGAACCAAAACGATCAACCCAAGTAACAGACTTGTGGAAAATCCTCTATTTCAGAGAGGAGAACTTTCCCCGCATTAGACCATTAGTGCCAAAGGAGGGCCGACCGACAAATGGAGAATGTTCTCCTTAAAGGAATTGAAGAATACCCACAAAACATTAAAAACTGATGATAGTTTCCACCAGCATTGACTTGAGCAGGGGCATAAAAGAAAAGATATGGATAGTATCCAAGTTTGACATATAGAGAGGGCAAATTGATGGGGATATATAGTGCAAAGGAAGCTTTCTTTGAAGAACCTCAGTAAACTTCAAGGATCCATTATGCTTGACCCAAATGAGAACATTGATACGTTTGTGACTTCTAGTTTTCTATAAAGCTGAATGAACTTCCTTAAGCATAGGTGATGATGCAACCAAATGCTTAGAAAGGAGATTTCACAAAAAACCTGCCCCGAGGATCAAGAGACCATCGACTAGAATCTGTCATTGCAACTTCCTTTTTTCTAGCTAGACTTCCAAAAAGTTGTTGAAAATCTAAAACCTCATCATCCTTAAGCAGCCTATGGATGTGACATTCCACATGTGAGTATCTCATCCCAATGGATAAAAACTGAACCATTGGAAAAAGAAGAAATTTCGAATAGGTGAGGGAAACGAGATTTTAGCAGAGTCACTGATCCATGTGTCTAGCAAAAGTGAAATTCTCCTGCCATTACCTAGCTTGAAAGTAGTAAAACTCGACTTTTTTCCAAATTTTATAAATATTAATCCCGGCCAAAAAGGGAAGGACTTTTCCCTCTGGGGGTAGGAAAATCATGAGTGGGGGAGCGGACTCAAAGCTATGGAACTTGGGTCTGGGTCTTTTGTCGAAATGGAGTGGCCTTATCTTTTTATTTTTTTCTTTTTTGTTAATGGTTTAAGGGCAAGGGTTCTGTTATAAATTAAATATAGTATACTCAACCCGAATCAACATATTTGTTTTGTTTTATGCTCCATAATTCTTCCTCAGCCAGACTTTGGCAAAATAGCATTACAAGTACAAGTATTAGTAGAATAGCAAAAATGTGTTCCTCGTCATTAATATGTTTGCGTTCCCCTGGACTTCAGGCCGTGGGCTTATAAGACTCGTACGAAATTTCTCAAAAGTATGGCATTGGTGAAAACTATTCCCATAGTTTTTGTATCACTTTACGCCGAAAAGATTCTGGTTTGTACATATATTTCTATCCCCATTTAGCCAAAAGAGCCATGTGTATGTTTTCCAAGCCACCAATAATGATTCCACCATCAAGAAGTGCTTTTTGATTCTTGAATTAAAACCAGATTGGGGCATTGATTATGTATGAATTTCTTTAATGCTACATGTTTAGATTTGTCCCTAGACCACGAGTATTTCGTAAAATAAATTTTATTGCTACTTAAAAGAGGATGACACACAGAAGTTTAAACTGCTGGAGTTTGAGATGAAATTTTTTGCAATGGTAGACCGCAAATTCCAGCAATAAAAGACAATTTAGATCAAGTTTTGGAAGGAGAGAAAGCAAGATCTACCACTGTTGACTCTTGAAAACAATGCCGTACATCTTCACTAGAATATAAGTTATTAAGGGCTTCCACAAAAAGATCCTCTGAAAATTGCTCGACATGTTCTGGATCCAGAAATGAAAAATTTGAAGCCTCGCTACATACATTGACAATTGAAGCAAAAAACAGATATTATTCTTAGGAGTGAGAGGGCTGGTAATACCTTTGATAAATTGAACATTTGAGCCAAGAGAGAGATAGTTGATTGTCAGAAAACCTTCCATGTATAAAAAAACATGTTCTTGCCATGCTTGTGCCCTAAATTTTTAGAAAATGATGTGTCATAGTGTTCTTACTGTGTCGTATCTGTCTTGTATATGTATTCGTATCTGTGCTTCTTAGTCAGAAGGGCACCAAGATAGATCAAACCTTTGACAAATGAAGTTCAATTACTGTGATGCTTTGCAATGGATGAATGAATGGTTGGAAGTTCTCACAACCGAAGCACATAGGGCAGGTGCTTGGAGAAAGAAACATCTTTAGGTTCCTTGTATGGATGGTGGCTCCCACTTGGTCTATTGCAAGATTACTTCCTTGCTGCAAGATTAAGGAGAGTTAGGCTTTGCAGATCCCATTGAAAGAAACAAGGCCTTGTTGGCTAAGTGGCACAGTGATTTGATAATGAACCTACTCTTGATAAAGGTGGTAGAGAGCAAAAATGATAGTTAGCATTAGACGATTTTTGTTGGATGCTTGGTGTGGCCAAGTTGGGCCAATGCATAACTATCCCAAACCTTTCACTTTTTACTAGGATAAAGCTGAATGCTAAGGATGAAACGAGTCAAATTATATTTCAATTGTTACAATGTTAATATCTTTTAAATTTATGCAAGAATAATGAAAAAAAAGTGTACAAAACTTGATAATTATGATCTAATTTATTTTTTTACTATTTGAAGATTTGTTTTTGTTTTTTGCGTGATAATGAATGGGTTTGATGAAATAATGGAATTATCCAATTTTTTATGTTTTCTTTCTCATTCAGGTAGATGAGACGCTGGACTTATTTAACGAACTACAATTGCAACATCAGGCTGTAGCAACAAAGACTAGAACGCTTCATGATGCATGTGATAGACTGGTGTGAATCTGATCTCTATTATTTTATGATGTTTCAATTACCGAGACGTATTTGCCACTATATTCTAGAATCATGTTTCTATAGCCTAGAACAAAGGGTTGACAAAGATTTTATAAATTAGAAGGCCATTAGCCTCTAGATGACAACCTATGTCTTTTCCTTTAGCTTGATAAGTTCAATTGGAGAATAACCATTAATCTCATTTATTTACTATTAGATAACAATTTAGTGATTACAACCTATTGGCATTTGGTCAATTCGAGAGAGTCTAATAAAAAGGTACTAATGCTTAAAGAAACATACTCTACATTGGAGTGACAAAGAAACTGGAAAAGTAATAAATATTCATAAGGAAAGATTAAAGCATCCCAATTAAGATTAATATCAGTCAGAGAAATCTAGAAAAGACTTAGCGAGAGGACACCAAGTAGAGACGTTCAAATGAGCTGAATCAAATTCAGCAGTCCTCCACGAAAAATACTTGTCCTAAAAAATCCTCAAATTTCTTTCCATCCATAGTTCCATGAGAAGATCTTTGATCCCATTGGACCGTAATAAAAGAGGCTTTGAAGCCAAAAGATCCCACGAAGAAGTTGATGAAGATTGTCCCTTGAATGATAGGAGAAGATCCAAGAAACTCTAAAAATGGGGAGAAGCTTGTGCATACACTTCAACGAATAAGTGCAACAAAAAAAGATGTGATGTAAATCATCCCCACGTTCATAGCCAAGAGGGCAGACCGAAGGTTCAAAGCAGAATAAGGAAGCTTCCTTTGCAAGACTTCAGACGTATTTAAACTTCCAATTAATAAAATCCATAAGAGAATGTTAATTCTCTTTGGATTTTTTTTGTCTTCCATAAAGCCCAAAATTAGTCATTGTGAAGGAGAAGAATCTGTAAGTTTCCTTGTTAAGGACTTCACTGCGAAAGAACCAAAATGTTCCAAGGACGATTTTCTTGGGGGTTTAAGAGAACCAGCTTTTAAAGATGAAAAAATTCCCGCCAAAGATTGCGGTAGAACTTCCTCATCCTTGAGCAACCTCCTTTCATGGAGCCTTTGTAATTGTACTATCAAATACCAGATACTATTCTTTGGAAACAATCCAATAGTGATTGGTTTGTCCAGTCTAAGTCCCCAGCTTGATCGGATTTCTCTTTGCAACTCTAAGACAGTAAAAGCTGTTGAATTGACGACCTTCATCTTCCCTGTGCTTCAATGTTAAAGGATGTTCAAGTGTTTTGCTTCAGTCTCTGTCATGAAGTTGTGGTGGCTCCATAGTTGACAATGGTATTCTTTGTGGCTCTATGATTAACCCGGGCCTTGACATATAAAAGACCGCGTTCCACTGGCTCCTTTAGCTCTTTCACTCTCTTTTGGAGAGTGGACAAGTATTTTAGTGCCCCCACGTGGGGGTGTTCAACATTCTCAATTAACGGTATTTCTGTTTACCATCTCATACTCGGCTTTTGAATTGACTCCAAGATTTGCTTGGAAGGCGTATAATGTCACCTTCTGTGGGCATTCAGATTTTTGATGGCCCCCCTTTCATATGAAGCAAGACGAGGGCCTTGACTTTGACTATAACTATTCTGGCTGTGAGGTCTCTGCCATGGAATCCTACCTCTCTATTCAGAGGACTCGTATTCCTCTTCTTTGCCTTCGAGTCTGTCACTTCCCCCACCTGTGGGGGAGTTGGGTCATAAATTCTTATTTCCACCACTTGCAGATGCCTGGTTCACCTTGTCTCTTGGGGTTGATTGATATTGAGATCAAACAGGCGTTCGACAGTAGCATAGGTCTATGCCTGGTTCACCTTGTCTCTTGGGGTTGATTGATATTGAGATCAAATAGGCGTTCGACGGTAGCATAGGTCGCGGAAAGGTCTTGAACTCTTTGTTCGTAGAGCTTGATTTTCGCCCACGACTTCAGCCCCTCAACAAAATCGAAAACCTTGTCTTTCTCGGACATATCACGATATCTAACATAAGCCCAAAAAACTGCTTACGTAGTCTCGTATACTGCTAGTATGCCTCAACACTTTTAACCTTCTTCTTGCGATTATTTTGGCATTCTCTGGGAAGAACTGAGAGCGGAGTTCTTGTTTCAAGCTATCCCAAGTGTCCACAATACATCAACCATCTTGAATGTCTATGTACTTGGACCTCTACCACAACTTTGCATCGTTGGCTAGATGCATTGTTGCCAACGTGACCTTCGCTTCTTCTACCACAATATTTGTGGCTCGAAAGTACTGTCAAGGTCGGAGTTAAAGTTCTCTAGAGCCTTGACATCTCAAACCTCACAGAAGGGCTTGGGCTTTGGGATCTTTATCTTGATAAATTTTACTATACCCCCGATTGAGGTTTGGTTTCCCACCGCTCACATGGTTAGGTTTAATCTGGCGCTTAAATTTGCCACTTTAGCCCTCACCACCCCGAGGGCTGCTCTCAAATCCTCAGACTAGAGAGAAATCTGCACCATTTGTATTTTTAAATATCTATCATGATTTAAGTCTATTGGAGGCTTTTTTCCCCTCCTTTTATTTTGGTAACCTGTTGACTAAAGAGAAATCCGCACTGCTTCTTTTGCACTATGCATGTTATGAATGTAATGATCATTGTTTCCTATCATAAAAAAACGTTAAAGCAAGAAGATGTAGAAGAGAGAATTAGAGTGCTCTTGCCAACTAATTTTCTTGTTTGGTGCCAAGTGGTGAGGGATATTATATTTTTATACGTAATTGAATAATCTACAACTTCGGCATCTGAAACTTAGTATGAATTTTTCTTTTTTGTTAAATTTTCTTGATTATAGGTCATGGAGAAGCAGAGACTGATTGAATTTGCTGAAGCACTTCGCAATAAGCTCAACTACTTTGATGAGTTGGAGAATGTAAGGTTTGACTTTTGACATAAGAATTTCAATATGAATGTTGTATTCTTGTTCAGATTCTCAAACTGCACAGGAAATTCTTTCCCCTGCATTTTAGATGGAACAGATCATTTTCCCGTCTCTTTGTTCTTTTCTTTTTCTGTTTTTTTGGGGATGAAAAGGACTGAACTTTTCATGAGAGAGGATAAAAGGTTACATAAGGGAGGTTAAAGGGTTTTTACCCAAATTGACATGGATAAGGAAAGGAGAATCATTACAAAAACTGCCACTTAAAATTTACAAAAAATGGTAAGGTTAAAAACATTCTATTTACCCTGAAGATTTTTTTTTTTTAATTTTTAAAATTTTTTAATTTTATTTTTAATTTTATTTTCTTTCCATCCATATAAAATCTTCATCTATTTACTTTGAATATCCTTCTTTTTCTTCCCATCCTTATAAAATCTTCATGGATTGGCTTAATGACACTGGAATAGTGATAAAAAAAAAAGGTAAGGGTGAATGGCTTATCCGAGCAGTTTCCACATTTTTCTTGATCCTCCACTCTTATACTCAATGCAGATGGGAGTGAAGCCTTCTAATTTTCCCATTTGATTGATAAACTCACACCTTAGAGCCAGTATTTGATCATGTGTTTGTAATTGATAGCGTGTGTTACAAATCTCCCTAGCATTCATTTTAAGTAATTACTGGCAACGTTTTAAAATTCTTCCATCCTTTATAGTATATAATGCATTTGAGTTTAATTCGTTCTTAAATTTTGCAAATTGTTTGCAGATTACTGCCATCTTTTATTCCCCAAATATGAGTGTTGGAAATGAAAATTTTCTTCCAATGCTGAAAAGACTTGATGACTGCATATTGTAAGTTCTTAAATGAGGTCTTTTGCTTTACTTACGTTGATAGTATCATATTTTTAACTTTTCTTTTGTTTTCTTCAGATTTGCTGAAAGTAATCCCCAATATGCTGAATCCAGCGTTTATTTGCTCAAATTTCGACAACTCCAGGTCTTTTAATGTAGCCCCTATTGCTCTGATATTCTTTCGTTTCCCTTCTTCCTGCAATTCACTACAGATTATAACAGAGATTAGAGATGAAAATGAAGGATTTAGATTTGTAACCAATACCTGACTTTTCTTATGCAAGTTCATAAATAACAAAAGCCAAGAATATTGTTTATAGGATGCATTCAAGGACAGAGATTAGAGACGAAAGTGAAGGATTTAGATTTGTAACCAATACTTAACTTTGTTTATGCAAGTTCATAAATAACAAAAGCAAAGAGTATTTTTTATAGGATGCATTAAAGAACAATGGGAGGTAGAAAAAGGTGAACATGTTTCGCTCATGCATCATCTTTTAACCCATGCAAATTCAGCTCCCAAGCGAATAGTTTATGCTCGCCGCTTGATTAACACATTTTATATCAGTTTACTTGTAAGCAAGTCACATTTGTCCATCTTTTGCTGTTATGATAGCCATGTACATATACTTAACTCTATATTTTATCTGTATACAGTCTCGGGCACTTGGTATGATCCGGTTTCATGTTGTTTCTGTTCTCAAAAGTGCTTCTTCTCAGGTGAAGAAAACTAACTCTTTTTCACTGATTATCTACAAGTGCATATATGATTGATACCTGCATGATCAGACACAATCCTAGAATCTAATCATTGTTAGATCTCTCTCTCTCTGTTTTTTTAAACAAGAGACTAAATATCTTGTCAATTCATGGTTAGATCTCTTAATTGTAGTAGCTGTTTCCTCTACCAGGTTCAGGCAGCCATGCGTAGTAGCAGTGGCAGTAATAATGCTGTTTCCGAGGGTGTAGAAGCATCTTTTATCTATGTGCGATTTGAGGCAGCAGCAGCTGAGGTAATGATTTAGTTTACATTTGCTATGAAATATCTTGTCACTCTATTCTTTTAAGTCTAAAACAAGTTGTCAGCTGTCTGTATAAGGAAGAGAGTACTGTCAGGACTACAAATTTTAAAAACCCTTACAAACATTATAGCTGGATGACATTTTGTAGTATACACGACTAAATATTGTAGTTGTGTAGCTCAAACCGGTGCTGGAAGAAATTGAAAGCAGATCAACAAGGAAAGATTATATTGAGATCCTTGCAGAATGCCATAGACTGTACTGTGAGCAACGGTTCTCCCTGGTGAGCTCACATTTTAGTTACATTGTAGTCTTCAGATAGATGGTGATGTGTCAATGCCTTACTTCTCGTATTGAATCTTTTGTAGATAAAGAATATAGTGCATCAACGGATATCTGAGTTTGCTAAGAAGGAGGCTCTCCCTTCATTGACTAGATCTGGATGTGCATATCTGATGCAGGTAATATTTCCTTGTATTTAAATGGTATTAAGTAGATAAAAGTTGAAGAAAGGTCCTAGGTGATGGGTTCTTAATTTTATGTCTATTAGCTATTTGGCTCCTTTTTGTATCCCCCTTGCTTTTTTTCATTTTGTATTATTCCACTTTATTTCAATGAGGTCCAAAGGAGGTTCATATTAGTAATCGCTAGACGTGGCCTTGTCTTGTCTTTTACCATTCAGATGTGGATAGAATATGTACATAAAAGTCCATTTCCAATTTACCAACATAACCTTCGATATGGTGAGTAGGGTACAATCATACCAGAACTCATTCATCAGACCCCATTAGAACTTTCAATGTAGTTGATTGTAGTAGTGCTTTGGATCCCATTAGAACCTTCAATATGGTTGAATGTATGTTGAAGTTTGTATTGAGTGAAAACTCATGCTACTTTTCTTACGGGTAATGCTTGACGCTCTATACTTTCTCATTTATTCTTATAACTTCAATCATTGTCTTCCGTTCTATTTTTAAAATGTTGATTGATTAACTTCTATGGATAAGTTACTGATTCAAGTGTTTTCTTATTATTATCGATTGTAGGTGTGTCAGCTTGAGCACCAGCTCTTTGATCATTTCTTCCCATCTTCTTCGGATAATGTTTCGAGCTTGGCTCCTTTAATAGATCCATTGTAAGTAAACTATCTAATAATCCTTATCATTAATAGCTCAATTGGGTAAAATATATATCCTAGACCAAATGGTCAGAGGTTTAAATTTTCATTTTCACATGTTGAATTCTAAAACAATTTGTTTTAGTCATGAAGGAAAATATTCAAATAGCCGAAAGTTCACTTCAAAAGATTTAAGATGGGTATGAATATTCTAGACAAAACAATTACAACGAAATATTTTTTATGCGATAGGAAAGAAGGGATTCATTGAAAACAAAATATGACAAGGGATATGTGATACCTTTGAACTTGGAAAGTAGATTCTTGGAAGGACCGAAAGGGATGTCGCTTGTAACTTCCTAGGATTGTTATTTATATTTTATTTATAAGAGATGGTCAATGTATTAGAGGCAAAAAAATAAGCAGACAACTTAGGGGTAGTTGGTTCTTGCTTTTCTTTTTTTGGTGGTTGTTTCATGAACATTTGGTATCTTTTTATGTATATGTCAATGAAAATTGTTTTTGTTATAAAAAAAGAATTTATGTCATTAATATATACAATTTTTTCTTGGATAAGGAATGAAACTTTTCATTGAATAAATGAAAAGTCTAATGCTCATGGATACAATGGAATGCTTGTCACAAAAAATCAATTTGCGAAGGCATGATGAAAAGGAAAAAAAATAATATAACGGAATGCTAGTCACAACCGACGAACTAAGCATTAACCTGCCCCCTCTCGGAAGATTGAATGATTCCATTTATCAAAGCTTCTCCATAATTTTGTCTTTCACTGGTTGCCAAAATGTGACTGAATTTGGATGGCCACCTAGATAAAGAAAAAGTAATACTTCCACCTCACATCGATTCCACAAATGATTTTTTTAGACACTTCCAGCAGCTTTGAATCACCCACATTGATTCCACAAATGGCTGATTTTTCCAAGCTAACCTTCAAACCTGAACAAACTTCAAGCAAGGTTAACTGAAAACATTCAACATATCATCATCATTATTGTCATCATCATACTATAGTCTGAATCAGAACATTCAACATATCGTCATCATATCTACAAAGACAGCAAGGTATCATCTGCAAATTGAAGTGTAGAAACATGAATTCTCCTTTTTCCCATTGTAAAACCATCAAATAACCCATTTGCTGCATATTATCAATCAAAGCATTGAGAACTTCCGAGACAAGTAAAGATAAAAAGGGAGAGAGAGGATCCCCTTCCCAGTACCGCATGAAGCCACACTTGCCCCTCTAGTTCTTCCATTCAAAAAGATGGAAAATTTTGGATATCTTATTCATCCTATAATCCGTGGATCCATTTGCCATTAAAATTCTTTAACCTGAACACACCTTATGAAAGTCCCAATCAATAGTATCAAAAGCTTTTTCAAGATCAAGTCCCCTCAGTAATGGACTCTATACATGGTCATACGCGGTCAAACAACAGATCTCCACCCTCCTTGACACTCATCGATAGATTTCTTGCCACAGAAGGCCTCCTTGGAAAATTCAGTAACGCTGGGGTTCAAAGACTGAATAGACCTACATCTTATCATTATCCCATTCTACTATCCATGGGTTGCTGTAAATGGTGCCCCTCACCCTTCCGATTTGAGAATATGTGGCTGAACCATTATGAATTTTTGCTAATGGTAGAATATTGGTGGAAGAATACGTCCCTCCATGGATGGCCAGGGCACGATTTCATCAACAAACTTAAAAGACTAAAAGGAGTCCTAAAGAAATGGAATAAGGAGGTTTTTGGTTGTATTTCGACAAAAGGGACCCAATTGCTAACCGAAATTGCCCTCCTTGATCAGATGGAGGAAACTGGCTCCATCACACTAGTTCAACACACACAGAAAAAGCTCATGAAAGCAGAACTTATTTCGTTGGCAGTAAATGAAGAGCAATCTTGGAGACAAAAATGCAAAAAACGATGGTTAGAGGAAGGTGACATAAACTCCAAAATTTTCCCTCGTATCATGGCTACAAAGAAACGAAAGAGTACCATCATGAAAATTCTATCCACACAAGGCATACGTTTAGTAAACGAAGAAGAAATTGTATAAGAATTTGTGTCCTTTTACACATCTTTATACACAAAGGACAATGCCCTTTGCGAATTTCCTCATGATCTTAACTGGAGTCCTATTGATCAACAACAAGCTGCCTCCTTCGAGGTGGTTTTCACTGAAGAAGAGGTGGGGAAGGCGATTCAACACTTGGGCTCCAACAAAACTCCAGGACTGGATGGTTTTACCTCAAAATTCTTTCAGAAATGTTGGAACTTTATGAGAGCTGATATCATGAGAGTATTCCATGATTTTTTCGAAACGGAGTTATTAATGGCAACCTGAATGAAACATACATATGTTTGATCTCAAAGAAACTGGATGCTCGCACTGTTGCAAACTTTCGTCCCTTAAGCCTCACGACCGGTCTATATAAAATCATAGCAAGGATATTATCAGAACGCCTTAAAAAGGTTCTCCCCTTCACAATAACTGGGCAACAAACAACTTTTGTTGAAGGGCGACAAATTCTTGATGCATCCCTCATGGCCAACGAACTCGTTGATGAATGGGAAAGAAAGAAACAAAAAGGTGTAGTCATTAAACTTGACATGGAAAAGGCCTTCGACGAGGTCGATTGGACTTTCCTTGAAAACATTCTTGTGGCCGAAGGCCTAAAATGGCGAAGGTGGATTAAAGGATGCATCTCATCCATAAATTTCTCCATCATCATCAATGGAAGACCGAGAGGGAAAATTTATGCCACACGGGGCCTAAGACAAGGAGATCCTCTATCCCCTTTTCTCTTCATCATGGTAATGGACGGTCTCAGTCGCCTACTGACAAAAGCAGAATACGAAGGGCAGATAAAAGGTTTTCAGATTAATAAAGGCTTGAGCATAAACTACCTTCCGTTCGCAGATGATACAATCTTCTTTTCTAATTTGGTGAATGCCTCTTCCATAAAAAAACATGATTGAGACAGTAAAAACCTTCGAAGGATTCTCTGGACAAAATATCAATCTCCAAAAAACAAAGATTATGAGCATCAATATTAGCATAGAGATCCTTGCAGAATTTGCTAGCATATATGGTGGTAAAAAGGGAGAATGATCAAATATGTACCTAGGACTACCTCTAAAAGGAAATCAGAAATCCTTTTCCTTTTGGAAGATTATTATTGAGAAAATAGAAAGAAGGTTGTCAACATGGTCATCACGTTATACTTCAAAAGGCGGAAGACTTACCCTAATACAAGCCACATTATCCAACCTCCCTACTTATTACATGTCTCTATTTGAAATGTCACAAAAAGTGGCCGTGGATATAGAAAGACTTTTTAGAAATTACTTATGGAAAGATGGTGCACACCTTGTTCGTTGGAATATTATAAACCTCCTAACATAAAAGGGAGGCCTCGGTCTTCTCTCGATAAGGAAGAACACAGCTCTCCTCGCCAAATGGATATGGAGATATCATCATGAAGAAAAGGCCTTATGGCGAAATCTTATAAAGGCTAAATATACTCTTACATCGAGCAAAGATCACCTCCCTCCATCTTCTACAAAAGGGCCTTGGAAGTACATAAAGAAACATCAAAATCTCATCACCAACTGAACTCGCCATAAGGTGGGGAATGGGGGAAGCACATCATTTTGGACCAACCCATGGATTGGAAACACCACGCTAGCTTTGAAGTATCCACTTTTGTACAGGCTCTCTCATAGCAAAAATGCCACGATTAAAGAAACGTGGAATGTTGTCAACAAATTTTGGGACTTGAAGCTTGGTAGGAATCTAAAGGATAATGAAGCAACGGAGTGGGCCGAATTAAGCCTTGACCTTGCCCCTGTGGTAGTGTCAAACAATGAAGACTCACTAACTTGGCTCCCCAGCGCTGACGGGGTCTTTTCTACAAAATCCTTGATGATGGACATGGGGGAAAAAGTAGAAGCACTAAATCCCACGCTAGCAAAGACAATATGGAAAGGACATCAACCTAAAAAGGTGAAGTTCTTCCTTTGGGAAATAGCGCATAAAGCCATCAACACAAGTGAAAATCTTCAAAAAAGAATGCCTTACATCACTCTCTCTCTCTCCAAACTGGTGTCCACTACGCAAGAAAGAAAACGAATCACAAAAGTCACTTGTTTATGCAATGCACATACACTCAAAATTTTTGGACAACAATTCTTAATATATTCGGATGGCATCTCAAATTTCCTAGGGAGGTAAATGATTTTTTGGATATGGCCTTAACGTACCACCCTTTCAAGAACGCAAAAACCCTATTATGGAAAAACCTCATCATGGCTTTCTTTTGGAATCTGTGGAAAGAAAGAAATCAGAGAATATTTGCAGAAACGACATAGACCTACACAAAACTTTTCGACAATGTTGTTTACCAAGCTAGATCTTGGTGTAAACTGTTTAATATTTTTACTTCCTACAGTTATACCTCCCTCATTGCAAATTGGGAAGGTCTTTTGTAAACATCATGGATTATACATCCCTCTTGTAAATTTCACTCATCAATGAGATTGTCTCTAAAAAAAAAAAAAAAAACTTCGAAATCCAACCTTTCTTCTTCCTTGCTCTACACTCCTATGAAAGCATCTGACAACTAGAAATGATGGAAGGCATAACTCTTTCAAAGCCTTTTATCGAATTTTCATTACTAGATTTGTTTAAATTTTGATGCTTTATTTTTCATTGTTAACTTTATTGTTCTTGTTTCACTCCCTTGTGGAATTTGTATCTTTTGAGCATTAGTCTCTTTTTATTTATTCAATGAAAATTTTAATTTCTGGTTAAAAAAAATAATAAGAAGTTTTTCAATGATATTTGATTTGGTTGTTTTTCATGCTCTTGGAATTTTGTTTACAAATCAGAAGCTAAATAAGCTATAATCTTTATTCTTGATTTCTTATTATCGATTCCTCTCTTTCTAGCTTTTTGGGCAATCTATATCTGTCTTTCCATTTCCCTCTGTTGCTTAAACATGTTGGCTTTCTGTTCTTTTGTTTGCTTCTGCGTTATTTTGATTCCTCTATTTCTCTATTGTTTTGTACTTTTCCTTTATCAATGTCATTGTCTCCTTTTGAAGAAAAAATCAACATATTAGGTCTCTATAACTTTTTGTGCAGGTCTACATACCTGTACGATACATTGCGTCCTAGACTTGTTCATGAAACAAGTTTGGACTTTTTGTGTGAACTAGTAGATATTCTTAAAGTTGAAGTTTTAGGAGAACAACTCACTCAATCAGGAGAATCGTTAGTTGGATTACGTCCTACACTTCAAAGGATTCTAGCTGATGTTCATGAACGATTAACATTTCGAGCTCGAACACACATTCGTGATGAGGTAATTTTAATACTAGTAATTTCATTTATCTTTTGGTATGTTTTACTCTAATAGTTATATGAGGCTCATTTTGGTAGCTATTTGATTTTGTTTTTAGTTTTTGAAAGTTAAGCTTATAGACATACTTTCCTTATGGATTTCTTTGTTTTGTTATCTACTTTTTACTTATGTTTTCAACAACCAAGTGAAGTATCGAAAACTAAAAAAAAGTAGTTTTTGAAAATTTGTTTCGTTTTTTAAATTTAGCTAAGAATTCAAATGTCTCTACAGAAACTAGATTTCTTCAAATGGATCCTTTCCCCATTATTAGTAATGTAACTAAAACTAATTGACTGACAGTAAAATTACTTAAGTTCCAAAATTTTAAACACTTATCTCCATTTTCCAATATTACCGGTATATAGCTTTTTGATGCTTGGACCAAATTTTTATTTTGGGATCAATAGATTTCTTATGAATTTGAACATAAAACTTTGCGATTTGTTATTCAGGCCACCTATGATTCCTCGATGCATCCTCCTCCCAGCCATCTTGTCTTGACCCCTTCACTGCCAACAATAGGAAATGTTTGGTGGTTCCTCTTAGTGCCGTATCCCATTTTAGAGTCATTTGGAAAATTAAAAAAAAAAAAAATCTATTTTTGTAACTTGGTTGAAAGGAATATGAAGTTTTTTTAATGTAGTTTAATAATTTATTTATTTTTATTTGAAATAATGGGAAATTTATATCAACACAAAATGCAAGGCACAGCCTAGTGGCAGTGGATGAGAAAGTCCCTTCTATTAAGAACTGATAAAGCTTATAGAAGCAGAATAGATCAACTGTAATAAAGAAAGAAGGCGAGCAAAGTAGTTTTCTATTGAAGGGTGCCTTTGCTTTGTCTTTTAGACCTGCATGCAAAACCCTTGTTTTTAATATTGACTACGAGCTTGTTCTCTGCCATTGTTAACCAAAGAGGAATACGAGGAAACAATTGTTCATAACATGATTGGAGAAGTTGTGGGTTGGGGAGGGTGAGGGTGAGGGTGAGGGGAGGAGAGAGAGCATCTTTCTATATAATAAATTTTGTAAATAGTTAAGTTATTAATGAAGGACATGTTATTTGTTGCGATATCAATTAATGATGCTGGTTAAGCTCACTTTATCACCCAAGCGACAATATTTTGGTATTAGTTAGGAATCAAAATTTCAAACTAGGGGGTTCTAATTGATGTAGTGGATTGTTAGTTCCATTTAGGGCTCTATTTGTATTTTTCCTCGAATATTTAATACTTAAATCTTGTTTATGTACTTATGTTACAATTAGTTACTGCTGGTTAATCAGAATTAACCAGTGTAATCAAAGCCGATTAGCACACGCGTAGCCTCTATATAAAGGCCCTTGCTTCCCTTGTTTTGTAAACTTAATTTTAAGACTGAATAAAAATGGAGCACAACGCTGGTACGGTTCCACCACTAATGCTGTACAAGTGGCAGTTCAAATAATACACCCTTAGTTTAACATGTTATAATTCTAAGGATTTTCTTTTAAATGTTTTTTTTATACACTTTTAACTGTTGTGATTGTGGGTACTTCACTTTAATTTTGTACTTTATTCTCCTTTTTTTAAAATAAGAATTATATACACTAAAGAGCTACCTCTATTTTTAAGTTAGAAAATGGAAATTAATTTTTCATTACTTTCGATTGTAGATTGCAAATTATTTTCCTTCCAATGAAGACTTGGAGTATCCAGAAAAGCTTGAGAAAACTGCAGGGGAATTGTCAGAAAATACTTCTGTAAATCTTCTTACCCTATATTTGAACCGTCTTGTATACTTGTGTTGATTGCTTGTTGGTGTTTATGCTGCTAACAAATTACCTCTACTCTCTTCTGGATTAATACTGTTATGCATTCAAGATTTCATTAACTCTATTATGCTTCATCATATTACATTATATAAAAAATGTAATACGATGATGCAGATTAAGCAGAACTATATATTATATTCCATTATCTTTTGTGTGTCCTACTCAGTCCTTACGAATGGAAAAACAAGTGGCAGAATCAAAGACAGCCACTGTTTCAGACAAGGAGACCTCTTTTTCTCTTCCTTGACCTTTTATCCTAGTAGCTGATTGTTAGCATAGGCTAATTGAAAATGTAGTGGTAGATGAGCTGATAGAGGGCTTCAATGTAGGTTTTAGCAATACCTAAATATTAGACCTCGGATTGCTGTTCCTACCTAATTAGTAGACCCCTTTGCTTTACATTCCGTCGGCTTTATCATTTGTCTTTCATGTGTAGTCCTTCGGTGGCTAATGTTTTGATTCCTTGTGGGAGCTCTCCTTTTTATTTGATTTCGGCGTCCTTTGTCCGATAGGGAAACAACAGATGTTTTTACTCTCTTATCTTTGATTGGAGGGTTTGAGCTCAGGTCTGGAAGGAGGGCTATTCGTTGTTGGAGTCCGAGCCCTATTGATGGCTTTTCATGTTGCCCTTTCTTTCCTTGGTTGATGAACCTTCTCCCTTAGTGGGTCTATTTTTTCTATTCTTGAAGGTGAAAATTTCTAAGATCAAATTCTTTAGTTGACAAGTTATCCACATGCGAGTTAATTCCCTTGATAGGCTTTCTAGAAATTCTCTGATTGGGTTGTTTTGTTGTATCCTTTTTGAGAGGGCAGAAAAAGAGTTGGATCTTATCCTTTGGAGCTGTGACTTTGTCTAGTTTGCTTTGAGTGTCTTCGTGAGATGTTTCGTTTTTAGTTTGCTAGACAGAATGATTATTTGGAGATGATTGAAGAGTTCCTTCTCCATCTATTCTTTCGATTGTGTATGGGGTGAGAAATAACAGAATATTTAATGGTCTACAGATGGCCGCTTGTGATGTTTGGTTCCTCTCTTGGCTTCATGTGTCTCTTTGGGGGCGGTGATGAAGTTGATTTATGAATATTCACTAGGTCTCATTTGTTTGGATTAGAGTCCCTTCCTTTGATGAGACTTCCTTTTGGAAACTTGTTTTTTTTATACCATGTATTCTTTCATTTTTCCAACGAAAGTTGGTTTCTTATATATATATATATATAGGCTTTACCATTTGTTCATTACTTTAGTCACTGATTGGTGGAGGGCCTTCATGTAATTCCTTTGTTCTTTGTACTTTTCAACTCCTAATGATAAGTGCAGTTTCTTATTAATAAAAGTAATAAATTATGATCTTTTGTGTTATTTTTGAGTTCAACAAGGGTGGAGGATGCGAACCTCCAACCTTTGGGAGATAAGTAATGACTTGGTTAGTATAGCTCATGTCGGGCCATCATCATAGTGTTTGGGTTTGTTATCTTCTTTGATCTGTAATTATTATTTTCCTAATTTCTTTTTAAACTTAGCAATGGTATAAGGAGGAAATATTTAGACTCCTTAAATGGGTTTGATTGCTCTTTCATTTTTACTTAACAATCAAAACTTCAGTTTCATTTTTATGTATGCATTTCAACCTATCCACACCCCCCCCCCCCAAAAAAAAAAAAATAAATAAAAAAATAAAAAAAATAAGCTGGCATGACCCTATTGTAGGTTGGCATGAATCAAGGTGCACCTAACGCTTGGTATCCTCCACTGGAGAAAACTTTATCATACCTTTCAAAGTTGTATCGTTGCCTAGAACCAGTTGTATTCACTGGTTTAGCCCAGGTACTTGATTTGTCGATCTTAACATCTTATCGTATTCTCATAATTGTAATTGCTTATCTGGCGGGTTTGATTTATACTGTTTGTTGTGATATTTTCCAGGAAGCTGTGGAAGTTTGTTCTACATCTATCCAAGTAAGACAGTGCTAATTAATTTTTTTCAACGGTCATATTAGATATTCAGATCTTATTATACAAAAGATTTGATCCTTGTTTGTATGGTCTGAATTGACTGCTGTTGTCCATGGTTTCTACTCTTCAGTGTCTCCCTAAAGTTCTCTAGCAAACTTTATGCTTTTTTTCATGATGTGCTTCCTTTTACTACTCCAGAACGCTAGTAAACTTATTGCTAAAAGATCGTCACCTATGGATGGGCAACTTTTCTTGATAAAGCACTTCCTCATTCTACGGGAGCAGGTATCTCCTAGTCCCACCCTTTTCTTCTTCTTGATGCTTTCCTTCTTCTTGATGACTTTCCTAGTTGAAACAGATATTACCTAATCTTCACTTCTTTTGTTTTTCCTTTCAGATTGCGAGTTTTGATGTAGAGCTTTCTGCAACCCACAAGGAACTTGATTTCTCTCATGTCCTGGTTGGTAACTTTGAGATATACTTTTCCTCTACCTTTGATGTCGATTTTCCTTGATGAAAACTTATTTCTTCATCATCGATTTCTGAAAACACTCTGGGTGCTTATTTCTTTTTCACTAATTGAGAATATATCTTTTTTGGATGCGACTTAATCTCATTATATCAGCAGAAGCCCATACACAACCTACAAAATCGTTATCTCTTGCATTAGTAATAATACTCTTTTATTAGACAACGGAGTAATGTCATTGCGTAAGAGAGGTAAAAGTCCTGTTACAATAGGAACATCAGTTGAGCGTTAAGCACACAAATATCATCCCAAAGATGACCTGAAGACTTCTCATCATCTTCTCCTGTTTTTTTTCAATGAAGTTCGTACTTGGTTCTCATTTTTCTTTTGTTTTCTTTTTTGAAACGGGGACAAAGTTTTCATTGATTAATGAAAAGGATAAAAAAGTTCAAGGTTGTATTCTTTCTAATCAAGCTTTTATTTAGTTCTCAATCTTAAAAAGATTCAAGGATTAATGCTAATGAGAGAATGGTGCATAAGGCAAACGTCAAAGATTAGTCGCATTATCTTTGCATTTCGGCTAAGGAAGATTTTGGACAAGGTTTCTGCCAATTTTTATTTTTCTTGGATCATCCCTAAGGAGTAAAAGTTTCGAGCCTTGCTAATCCAATTGAAGTGCACATTCTTGATAACCTTAAGCTTGCTTAATCTGTCCGCAACTGGCAATGATTTTATAATTGTAATGTATAGTTTTAGGCTTATGAGTGTTTGCGAATTTGCATGAAATGATGTGTGAAGCACCAGAAAGTGGAAGTGGCTTCTTACTTGTAGAAAATCTAGTAGTTGGCTTCTGCAGTTAGCTATTCTATTGTTTGCCATATGAATTCACTGTTTAGCAAGAATTGGTTTGTTAATTTTCTTTTGAGATATAACTATGTTGCTGATTTAAATTGTCAAATGTGGATACAACATTAATTGACCATCTGACTTTTTCAGGAGCATCTTCGAAGGATTCTTAGAGGTCAAGCCTCCATTTTTGACTGGACAAAATCAACTTCATTGGCAAGGACACTATCCCCCCGAGTTTTGGAGAGTCAAATTGATGCTAAGAAGGTAATTTGTTTCGTTTCTTTGCAACAAATCTCACGTGGAACATAACACAATGATTATTTGTAATTAACATTTAATTTGTTAGCGGTATCCTTTCTAACTAGCAACCGTGTAGTTTGTCCCATCTCCTTTGTGTTGAGAGAAAAAGAAATTGAGGGAGGATTAGGGCTGGCTTCTGTAATGAATGTTTTTGTAAGTACTAAAATGGGCAGGGTAGATATAACCAATTCTTTTTCTATGCCTCCATACCTTCTATATGCTTAACATTAAGTTTTGACAATACTAAAGGAAAAATACGCTTTCGGCCCTTGATGTTTGAGTTTGATAGCATTTAGGTCTTGAGATTTTAAACTCAACATTTTAACTGCTGAAGTTTGGGTTTGGTTGCATTTTGGTCCTACGGTTAGTTTTTTATTATGGTGGCTAATGGAGTTGAAATGACGATGTTTTTTCTTAATTAAAATATATATTTTTTAATTTTTTAAAATCTGTTTTTTTTCTTTTTTCTCCCTCTCGTCTTTCTCCTTCCTATCCATGGCTGCTACTGCTCATCACTGTCTCTGGCGGCGCCCGCCACTCCATCTTCGTTCCCCTCTTTTTTTCTTTTTTTCTCCCTCTCTCTCCTTCCTTCTTATTCTTCTTTTTTTTTTTTTTTTTTTC